CCAGGCCTTCCTGTCCTTCACTGCCTCCCTGAGTTTGCTCAGTTTCATGCTCAAAGAAGCATTACAAACGCTAGTTGGATAAAATTGTAGCTGTTGGCACATCTACTCAAGAAATGACCTTATGGACCAATGATAATTGCAACAGTATAAAGCAGTCATGCAGTGCTGACAATGCCGGGACTCATTAACAGGCTATTGCATTGGCATAGCAGCTTATAGGTGCAAGCTATTAAGATTGTGAATCTGCAGTACAAGCAGCCAGGAACAAAGAGCATGCCCTGTATAAAGTCAATGTATGCAAGATGAAGAACAGAGAAATATTAGTTTTAACATACAAATGAAGTGCCTGAACAAAATACTGATTTGTTCAAGTTACCAAAAAAAAAAAGAAGTATTATTAATAAACTATTAGCAAAAGCAGTAAAGATTTATGCAACAACTGATTTCTGTTATTTCCCTATAATTTCCTACATACCAATGAATCATGATGTCAAAAACAAGGGCATATTTCTTAGCAAAAAAAAAAAAAAAACTATAAAGGGTAGAATCCTTTGTACTGTTTTAATAATACTTATGTTGGGTAAGAGGGTTGAACATTCAAGTTAGGACATTTCAGAAAGCATTCCTATCATTTATAAAGAGTTCCAACCCACGGCCTATGAAGCAAAGATGTTAAGACATCTCCTCTTCTCCCTCCAGTCAGGGAGATTTAAATATCACTAATCAAAGAGCAAACTGCAAAAATTGCACATCTTCAAAGCTCAATCAATGTACAGTGCAATTTACACATCTATTTCCTAGCTCTAGAACTTCTCACATTCTAACTTTTTTGAGACAATACTTCTGAAAAGAATTTGGAAATGAAATTGTCTGAAGCATATGCCTACTTAAAGATCACCTTGAAAGTCACAAGACAAGTCATTACAGCAATACTACTAGGTCAAATATTGCAGCACCTGCACAGCAGAACACCACCAAAGGGGCACAGTGATTGGGCAACTTGGCAGCATCTTCTGCAGCTCTCCTCTGAAGTGCTACATCTAAATACTTATAGTAATCAGTGATTTCCAACTGGAAACAATGCTCCTCTTAATAGATATATTACTAAAGGTTATCTACTCCCTCTAACTGTTTTAGCTCTTTGGTGTTCTATGTATCTATTTTGCTATTTTAGAAGGATGTTAGCGATATTTTTAGTTCACCTTGTGAACTGTCCAGAAACATAAAGAGACCGGGCAACACACAAATTTTCTAACTAAATAAACTGGTATAAGCAAGAGGACATATTTCTTTTAAAGGGTTTTTCTCTAGGATGCAAGAGTCATATATAGTATGTCCTTCTTGGTGCCAGCTGAAAAGAAAGAGAGGCGGATCCTGCCACTGTTCCAAAAACTCAACCCAGAAAATGCAGTGTGGTGTAGCTTGCAATATGGATCCTGGCTCATTCAGACTCCCTTGCATTAAAATAGTGCAGTTATCATTCCCTTTGCTCCTCAACTAAAATGCCATTCATCCGGTTTTCCTCACTCCCATGTTCATGTTAGGAATGCTTGAGGTTACAGAAATTCGCCATCTGTCATTCATACACTACTTCTGCTTCTACTTGATTTTAAAAAAGGAACCCACGAACTCGACCTCCGCGTCTCCGAAAATGTATCACACTAGACTCTTCTCTTCTAATAGCAGAAGCTCAGACGGGGGTCCCAAGCATTCATGGAACCACTCCCCCCTCCCGCCCATCTTGTAATGCGAGCGCTGATCCGGATTTTTCCCCTTCATTTGAGTCCCATATAAATGGAAGCAATTCCAGCTTCCCCACATTTAAACGGGCTCGTCCACTGAATTGCCGAATGCAAAGGGACTCGTTGCACTCCTTTTGCTACACTCTTGTTCTTTCTTAGGGAAGGGCGCAGCATTCCTAGCTCCCCCCGGTTACAGCGCCACACACCAATAATTATCATGCCCTTCCCTTGTACTGCGGATTCTATCTTATGATAATGCTACACTTTATATCTCGCAAAAACTCTCTGTCCTCCACCCGGGAAAGGGGGAGTGAAATAGCACTAACCATGATGGGAACAGAAAACGCTACCGGCCTTCCTCCTTGAGGTCACCTCCAAGTGCAGTCTCAGCTCCAGCAAAGAGGGAGTGCGTCTCGCTCGGAAGGTAATGAAAGGAGGCGAAGCCACCGCCCCCTATTTTCCAACCTCTTGTTGTTACCTGGGAGTTGTAGTTCCACCACTCCAAAGCAGAGACAATGGGCAGCTTTAAATGCTCAAAAGAACTACAATTCCCAGAAGCCAACGGAGCTATCCGTCACCCTCAGCCGTACATCCAGTAGTATAAGCGAGAGAAGAATAAGATTTGAGGTAGCGTTTTACGTAGAAATCACGCGCGTTTCAATAAGGGAATAGGCTTCAAATTATGACGCATGCGCAGAAAGGGATGACTACTCGGGTGGTTGATGTATATATACACGTAAAATAACATATAATAAATACCTCGACGGCACGCGTGAAATATATTAAAATATTCTGTTAATCATTTTATTGAAATTTTTCAGAAAAAAGGCACAGTTTAAAGTAATTTATGATATACTACTTAAAAACAAAATGGGGAAAGGCTACTGGACCAATTCTTTTTTAAAATACAGTATAAATTAAACGGTGGTTATTTACTTATTTAAACAATTTATAACAATTCATCTCCCAAAAGTGACTGTGGGTGGCACATAAGGCTTAAAAACAAAAACAATTTAACAAAAGCCATAATGCCCAAGGCCACAAACACCATCCAACTCAGAAAGAACAATATTAAGCAGCAGTAACCAGCAGAGTTCACCTAACCATATAGCTGAAATGCCTGAGGGTTAATATTCGAGCTGAGTTTCTAAAAGAAAACAATCAGTGAAAAGTAATTAAAATAATGAAATAACTGAAGCAATTTTGTGAATTAAAGTTTGATATTTTACGCTTGGTCCTTCTATGCATGAACGAATGAAACAAGGAAGATGTCTTCAAAAGTAGAAGAATCTCTCCACTGCAGCACTGATTCCCTCACCATAGAATTAAAGGCTGAAAATACAGGGTGGTGGAATTAAACTGTGATCCCATCCAGTGTCAGAGATCAGTAATGGATTAGTGGATTGTGGATCAACAGCTAGAAGGGCTCTCCTGCAGACATGAGAAGAGCCAATCATTCTTCATTTCAGCAGAGCTACCTCATGCTCCTCTGTCAAACAGCAGTTTCCATACCTGAATCATATGGGACCAACCTCATGTTTCAAAGTGTTTCTGATAGTTTAGCAAAATCCTATTTTAGTAAACCCAAGATTCTTTCAACTGGAGAAGGAATCTAGGCTGGGTTCACATAAGCAAAAATATGGTTGGTTAGTTTGCGGAGTACAATAGTGTGTTAATTTATTGTTCTGCAACTATAAATTGTTACAATTGGGTTAATTCAGGAAACCTTTAATTATTATGTTATGTGAACAAAGCCATTCATTCCAAACTTCTTGCAACATAAACTTCCCTGCTAGACCCAGTTCAGGCATTTTTGGTTTTCCCTGAGAGCTTCTGCTGATGAGTATTGTGGGGGCAGGGACAGCAAGCATAAAAGTGAATGAGAGAAAGCTTAGAGAGAGAGATCTAACCTAGCCTGAGGCTCAGGAGGTTGTAGCAAAAAACAGATTCTTTAAGTAAAGGAATCATGGCAATTAGCAGGTAACTGTAGCCACCATTTTGAAATGGATGGGAATTAAACTTTCTGCTCCCACCAGCAACCCTAAACATTACTAATGCCAAGAAGGAGAGAGAAACCCACAAAGTTGTCCTCCCCTCATCCTATCTGGCCCATTAGCTCTGATATTGGTCTTTTTGCCTGTTAACAGAGCCAGTCTGGTGCAGTGGTTAAGGCACCAGGCTAGAAACCAGGAGACTGTGAGTTCTAGTCCTGCCTCGGGCATGAAGCCATCTGGGTGACCTTGGGCCAGTCCCTCTCTCTCAGCCCTAGGAAGGAGGCAAGAGAAAACCACTTTTGAAATATTACCAAGAAAACTGGGAGTAGGCCAGACAGTTGCCAGGAGTCAACAATGACTTGAAGGTACAAAGAAATAACAACAAACCACCAGCCAAAGAAATCCAGTTGCATCCTGGGTAGCTTGTGTTGGGGGAAGGATGACAAATACCTCTCACTGTCACCCAGCAAGCCTGTAGAATGTGCATGCCTGAGTAAAGGTGGACTGCATTTTATGTGTGTGCAAAAGGTAAGATGCAGAATATGTGTCCAGATGTGAAAGACATACAATAAGGAGTGTAAGGATGCACATGCATTGATTGATTACAGGCTATCAAGTTGGTGTCCACTCTTAGTGACCACATAGATAGATTGTATCCATTACAATCTATCCCTAATTTGATCTTTCAGACCTTCCAATGGTGCACCCATCGCTCCTGTAACCGTCTATGCACCTTGCTGCTGGTCATCGTCTTTTTTTCTTTCCTTTCATCTTTCCAGGCATTAGAGCCTTCTCCAAAGAGCTAGGTCTTCACATAATATATCCGAAGTAGGATAAATAAGGATTTAAGGATCCACTAGCTATAAACTAGTACTTTCATACTGTTGCCAAGAAACAATAAGGATATGACTGCAGAGTTATCAGGAATTGGGCTCAACTTGAGGCAACCTTTAGCAGCAAACAAGAGTTAATAATCTTTTCTAAGATCTTAGTTATTAAAAATACTAAATGCATGTTAGGTAATTCTGATACAAATATAATGCATTATTCTACCACTATAGAACTACGGTGTATGTAAGTGTATATCTCACACAGGATATGTTTGAAAAAATGTGCTTATGCCAGATCTAAACTAAAGCCCTCCAAAACATCTTAAGCAAACCAAAAGACCCAATCACCCAAGAAGAAAAAACAGGAGTCATCTACAACATACAGTGTAAGGACGGTAACAGCCACTGTGTAGGACAGACGGGCAGAAGGCTAGCAGAGCGCATCCATGAGCACCAACTAGCAGTCAGAAGACATGATGAAAACTTCTTAATCTCACAACACATGGACAGACTCAACTATAGTTTTAACTGAGAAACTGTCAGCATTTTAGACCAAGCTAAATCCAAAAATGAAAGG